AATTATTCGGTTGAAGCTGAGATTGAGAGGAAAGGTAAAGGCATATCGAGAGAAGACAAGGGAAAAGGAAAATTGATCGAAGTGGAAGAAAGTGAAGACGACAGTGATGATGAAGACGACGCTGAAGATTGTGGTGATGAATACGACGAGAGCGATTTGTCCGATGATCCACTAGCGGAGGTGGATTTGGATAATATCCTTCCTTCGAGGACTAGGAGAAGATCGACCCAGCCTGGAGTCTACATCTCCAATGAAACTCGTGACCGTGGAGGCAACGACGAGGATGATGATAGCAGCGACGATAGTGATGCTTAAAACACCTAGCTTATAACAACGAAGGTTAGTGGTAAGAAAAATCAAGATTTAGTCATTTGATTCTAAAGAGAGTTTGCCCTCTGGTCAGTGATCTAATGTTTCAAACGCTTTTGGACCAAAGTTGGCTCTATATATTATATCTATGATGTTATTGCAATTCAACTCAATGTGATGGTGCCTTTTGGGTTTTCCGATCTTAAGTCGTTTGATGCATAAATTTCCAATCTTTCTTGATTTTGTGTGAGCTTAAAGATTGTTGGTTCTTGAACATTAGAGAAAACTAAGTATGAATTGGTCAATTTCAAGTAAGGGTTTGAGATGTGTGAGACAGTAGCATGGGTTTACTCTTAATAGATGATCCTTAAAAGTCTTGTTTAAGGCTTTAAGCTGCTTTGTGTGAGAAATGAGAATAGAGTCCAGTATATGTGACTTCATGTATTGCAGTGAACATTCTTGAAGTAGATAATGGTGCGGCCTATAGGTTTTTAAATAAACAAGTTCATGCTCTTGTGTTCCTTTGGTTATGTGCAATGCAATGCAACCCGACCCTAGTCCTACTCTTGAGGAGAAAGATCATTTTGGCAATGCTCTTCGCTTTTCGTGTCGAGAGGATGAGTAAAAATCAAAACTTTCAGATCTCATCCTCTCTGCAAGAGATACACAAATAGGAATAAAAGGCGATGATAACATAGTCCTTGGATTGTTATGTTCATGAGGTGGTTCTTCTATGTGTTTCTGTGAGAAGCCTTTTGAGAGTGAGAGTCTTGTAACTGCATCTCAAGAGTTCTTAACTTTTGTAAAGCTAAATCATCTCTCAGCTGAATCTGTGTTGTTGCAGAGAATATCTATGAGGGGGTTATATTATTCTACTATAGATTCGTATAGTTCAATTATAGAAGTTACAGAATTTTTGTCAGGAGAATATCATCATCACTCTTAGGTTCTTAATGCAAAAGAAACTGGACCACCAGGGAGTGACAATGAGAACTGAAAAAGGGTTCCTTTCGGAATCTCATATTGG